ATGTTAATATTAATAAAACTATAGCAAGAGCATGTTAATATTAATAAAACTATAGAAAGAGCATGTTAATGTTAATAAAACTATAGAAAGAGCATGTTAATGTTAATAAAACTATAGAAAGAGCATGTTAATGTTAATAAAACTATAGAAAGAGCATGTTAATGTTAATAAAATTGCAAAGTTTGGTGGCGAAATGTTGCAAAAAGAGAAAGTATAGACATGCGAAATTTGCGAATTTTGTATTATTATATTTTGTACAAGCCATTTTTAATTTAAGGCTCCTGCACTCGAAAATATACTTTTCAAAATAATTTTAGCGGTAAAGATACTAGCAGAGCCCAAATTTTGTGGAGTTTGCAGTTGAGCGAACAGTTTCGAACTGTGCCAGATTTTTTATACACCCGGTGTAATAAAAACTTGTTCCATTCACTCTCGTCATATATGGCTATAATAGTGAGCTTTAAGCCCAGGGCAAACTAGGAAATATTGTTGCGGAAACGTTGTTTCCTACCAATGTTTCGCCATGTTTCCCAGAGTTCGCAAACACTAGGAAACAGTAGTGAGAAACATAGGGAAACATCAAATGTTTCTGAATTGGGTAGGAAACATTTTTGCTTCCCGGGAAGCAAATTTTTTTTCCGCAACAATGTGTCCACGGGTGGGCAAACATGGAAACATTTGAGGAAACATCGAGAATCACAAATTTTTCCGCAACAATGTTTCCTAGTTTGCCCAGGGCTTAAGATGCACCAAATCTGCGACGCGGACGCGACTAAAAAACAGTCGGCAATAATTAGAGACTAGTTTTACTTTGTTTTTCTCTTGTCTCTGGCTTTCTTTACCCACAACAATCCATAATTTTTACCCGTGAAGTGAAACTTCGATGATAGACCTTTAGATTGACGTTTACGGCAAACGTCAAACCGCTAACGAAGTGTTTGATATTACAACTCTATTATATAACAGCTTTTACACCAGTTTTGAAATATATTAAACAATTATTAAACTTATTAACGAATTAAAACTATAAAACGAATTAACCACTAGTCACATATTCACCAAAGCAGTAAATTAAGATGTGGCGTTTGAAGTTGACGTTCGGCGTATAAATTTTATGCTTCAACTGCTACGAGGGCTTGCATAGTCGTTAAAGGATGAAATTTATACGCCAAACATAAACTTCAAACGCTAAATCTTAATTTACTGTTTTGGTGAATACGTGACTAGTGGTTAATTTGCTTTCTTAAATTATTGCTGAAGAGCACAAATTTAATAATAATTGTTTAATATATTTCAAAATTGGTGTAAAAGCTGTTATAATAGAGTTGTAATCAAACTCTTCGTTAGCGGTTTGACGTTTGCCGTAAACGTCAATCTAAAGGTCTCTGCGACAGTTTCTTGTTACATCCGCGTCGTACATTTGTTGTATCTTAAGCTCCCTAAAGCCTAGTTTCCATTTGGTCGTTAGTTGTCGCTGGCACCACAAGTGGCTGATGTAATAGAGTGTCAACGAAACTTTATAAAACTCTGCAATCATTGAGACTGATTTGCATATAACACACAAAAAGACTATTGATATTAGACTATTTCACATCTACCGCTTGTCGTGCCAGCGACTACTAACGACCAAATGGAAACTAGGCTTAATATTAACCAACTCAGTACTACGCACCTCGTCGGCTGTCAGATTATATACGACTCCAGTTCGCAGAGTAACAGTAAAATATCTTATAAATACTAATTATACTTACTGTAATTGCAGGTATTTTCAGATGTGTGGTTTTTAAATGAAGAAAGTTGGACGTGGTATGAAATATCAGTAAACAATAGCATATACGCTGCACCGCAACTCTGATTACACCCAGCAGTCATGATTGATCAAACTGTAGTAGTCTTCGCTAGCCCTGTGACGTCAACAGCCAACTCAGCAGCCGCTATTCTCATAACTGGTGTACCGCAGGCTCTGATGAAAATGTACTCTCTCGATTGCAGTGAACTGGAAACGAGTCGGAAGTGCTCGTGGCGAGCGGTTTTGAGCAACAACAAATCATTACTGGCAAGTTCCCTTCATTCGGTAAATGTCTGTGAAGGCCTTATTTTTGGAGGACTCAGTGATGAACAGACTGTTCAAACAGCGAATAACACGTTAGTGTTTGTAACAGCGTTTTGGACAGATTGAATAACCGTAATTGAACAGTGTTTATATGGCAGCCGAGTTGACGTGGTTACTGTTACAGTCAGACAGCGTTTTTCATCTTGCACAGCTTGAAACGATTCAAAACTGTAAATCGCACATGATTGAAGATTTCTCCATATTAAAAATGATATTTACAATAGATACTCAAAGAAAAATCGAAACAAAATTTATGTTTGACTACTTGGAAGGAATGTTAAGATTATTTAGAAATGCTTTTTACAAATTCTCCCCAACTATCTTAGTTTTTGAGATTTTTGGATAGATCAAATTAAATGACGTCAAAACCAGGGTAGACATTTTAAAACTAAAATAATCAGGGACGTAACTAGACGCGATAAACGGGGGGGGGGGCATGTTCATATACTCGTGTTCTGCCCGACGGATTTCTTCTGAAAGCGATTGTTTTTACGGCATGGGAACATGAATATATGAATATCCCCCCCCCTATTTATCGCGTCTAGTTACGTCCCTGGAAATAATAATATCGGTGGAAGGCTTATACATAGCTTGTGATTTAATTTACTGTGGAAGAGACAGGTGGGACGTCCCTCGGTGAGACGACATTATGTCGACATAGCATCTTCGAAATGTTTTTGTTGTAATTAAGCAAACTGCATCTTGTATTACGACTTTAGTAGTGTCTGTTTAGATCTATCAAATATATAATGTTAGTTCTTTGTTTGTATTTTCTAACCGTTCAAAACTATAGCTATTAAGGCCAATTTTCACTCAAGAAAATTTTCCACGGACAGAAATTTTCCGAAAATATCATTGTTAAAAGTAGAACATTTCATCTTTAAATTTTTTTCCGGCGGAGAATTTGTGTCGGCCAATCACATTTTACAAAATTTTCTGTCTGCGGAAAATTTTCCTTTTTAACACAAATTGAATTTTATATGCGTTCACAAAGGCCACGCAGATCTCACTCGGTTCATGAGGTCAGCTTCCCGATTAACTATGAAAATTTGTGCGAGTAATTGCTGAAGGACAAATTGATGAAATTTTGGTGAAATTTGGATGAAGATTGGATGAGAAATTACAGTAGAAAAAATTTGTCTTGCTTTGCCGGGCGGAGTAAACTGAATGTGTAATTAGCTCATTGTATACAGTATAATTTCAGGGCTTGAAATAACAGACGCACGTTGTTCGGTCAAACATTTTTTTCTCGGACACGACCCATTTTTGGTCAGTCTAATATTTTGGCGCTCATAAGGAGTAATTGGTGCGATTGAAAAATTGAAGAAACGTGCAACTTTGATAGCGGTACCGGCAGACGAGCCCTAATGTGATTGATGACACACACCGTGGACGGTCGTGACTGAAACTGTCAAACTAGCGGACAACGAACAACCAGACAATTATTCCTGTGGCGGCAGAACATGATCGAACTGTCACAGCAGTAGCGTAGGAAGATATTTAAAGTTAGGAGGACTGAAAACTAGGGGGATTCCGGGCATGCCCCCCCCCCGTCCGGAAAAATTGGAAAATTTGAGGATCGGCAATGGCATTTCTTGCATGAAATCCTGCAAAAAATGCTTCATACTTGGATTTGATGAGTTTGTAAGACTCGGTGAGGGCTGAAATCGGCGGCAAGTCAGCATAGTCGAACAACCTGATAGGAGATGGGAAAAGCTCACGCTTTTTAACCAAGACAAAACGACTTAATCTATTTTTAGAGTGACTTAGCCATCCTGTGGAAACTATGACAGGTGCTGAAGCCCTCAGTTTAAATTCACATGAAGAATATTCCATTGACCACAATGTTGGTAAGTTTGTTCACTTTGCCTTTTAGGCAGCGATCAAGAATCTTGATCATACTACTCTCTTGCTCTGATTGAGTTTTGAAATGGCTTAGCCTCCACTTTTACTTCTGGAGGGCTTCCCTATTCCGCCGTCGCTGTCTTATAGTCTAGAATCTAATTTCATACTCTCCCTTTTTGGAAACATAAATGTCCAGTACGAGCTTTTGTAACAAAATTTAATTTTGAACGGAAAGTTAAATTTCCTTTTAGAGCACGCGAACTGACTAGACAACATGACTGGTACCAAGGATTTGTTCGATCAATAATCATTTCTCACTGCACCATGTCCGTTGATCGGCCGTTATTTCAAATCCAGAATTTATGCTTCATACATGAATTAAGTCACTGGCGGAGGTATGCACTCATATTCGATCAACTTTCTATTTTTTCAGGAAAGTAGAAATTCGAAGATTTGCCTGGCGTGGCCAGGACGATCGACAGTTGAAGATCGAGAGAGACAGGAAATCGGTGTCTCTAGAGATAAATTACGCTATCAGATTTGTACAGGTAAGGTCGTAGGCAGTCCAATAGCTAGGCTTGCTACAGGCGTTGTTGCAACTTTCCGTCTCGTAAACCACCAGCGTCACCAGTAACAATCAATGTCACAACTTTTTCATGTGTGTCGCATCCGGTGAATGTGAAATGAGATACTCGTGATGCAAGACACGCGTTTAAACGCGCGTCCCCACGTGTGCATGTAGTAAAACACTGACTACCGGAACACCACCAAACCCTAACTCCCAACCCTAACCCTAACCTCAAACAAAATGGTGGTGTTCCGGTGGTGTTCCAGTAGTCAGTGTTTTACTACATGCCCCCGACGTGTTAACACGAACTGAACAGTCACACACAACACGAAGTCACACAGTAGAGTTAGGCGGTACTTAAAAATCATATCATGTTTATCGTGTAAATAGTTAAAAAAAGCTATGTACACATACGAATCAATATCACGCTAGTCATTGACCATAGTCATTGAATTACGGTATATCCTCGCTCATGTTGCTACCTTCCATACGATAATCATGAGTACAAATATTGCGATAATATCGAAATGTCGCCCAACTTTATCACGAACTTCATTAAAGAGGTCGGGACTTTGGCGGTTCGGGAATGTGACAAGCTTTTATACGGCTGTCAATGATCGGCTGTCGGAAAAGGGATCTTCACGTAAAAGCATTAGAGAGGTTGCCAGGAAAATATCTGCGCGTCAGACAGACTCGAAATATCATAACAACTACGCTAAGATAATAACAAAATTTTAACCTAAGATAGTTTTGCCACATTCTTACAACTATTTTGCGAAACAAATGAATTCGTAAAACGAAAGGATACGAAACGTTTTCTCCAATTTGTTAAATGTTTTGATGGCACTATGCTGGATACCTGCAACCCGCTGAAAAAAGCATTTTCATTTGACGTATACAAAATCTCATTGGCTGTCATTGACCGTCGGTTTTTTGACAGCCAATTAGAACGTGTATTTGTCGTATATATATATATATATATATATATATATATATATATATATATATATATATATATATATATATATATATATATATATATATATATATATGTTATTTACCGTATTTATTTTTTTGCCGAAGACTCAGAGGCAAATGGCAACGGTTTTATTAGATTGCGCATATTGAACACAAAACAATAAAAAAATGTTGATGTTTAATTATTTTACTTTAGAAAACAAACAATTCAATTAAAATACAGTACAATTATTTTATCCATCATTAAAATTATTTCAAAATTACATATTCATATTTTTCTGTTTTAAAACAAGCATACAAAATTTTTTTGCTTTGGTTCCGGCATTATATACGTATAGGATTCCGGACCGTGGTCAATTATCGTAAAATTCCGCCCGCTGCTGCAGCCAATCAGATTGCAGAAAACGCTAGGATTCCGCCCGCTGCTGATTTACAAAAAAAATAAGAACATGCTATTTTCAACCGTTTGCAGGCAGATATAGATTTAGTTGTTTAGTTTGATTGAGTTGCCAACCTTAGGAATCACTATAACTTAAATAGTAGTATGTAGGTCTAGGACCTAGTTGGGCCTAGCACGAAGCTGCAAGGACTGTGCCGAAATATCGTATCGTGACTTAGGAATCACTATAACTTAAAAAGTAGTATGTAGGTCTAGGACCTAGTTAGGTCTAGCACGAAGCTGCAAGGACTGTGCCGAAATATCGTGTTGTGACTTAGGAATCACTGTATAACTTAAATAGTAGTATGTAGGTCTAGGACCTAGTTGTGTCTAGCACGAAGCTGCAAGGACTGTGCCGAAATATCGTATTTAACTCTTTATAGACAGGTCCAGATAATGGGGAGATCACCATGGTTTAAGCTAACGACTTTGCAGGTTCATATCTTCGGTTCAGTGTACCCAGCAAGGAGAAAAAATACTACCATAGGATTCACTGAAACAATATCTCCTATTTCCTAACGATAGTTTTATACTTTAGTCAATATCAACACTGTAGCGATATATGGCCTTTGAAAGTCAAGTCTTGTATCTTCAGATTTTCATCTTTAATTACGGCATTTCACTTTGTAGCGTGCGTCTAAACCTGAAATACAACTTCGATCGATGAAAACATTGAGATGTTTCTACCCTACACACGTAAAAACGCACAACTTGTTACATAAAAATTATCTGCCAACAAGTTATTACACTGCGTGTTTATAGTTGTTGTAACAAGTTTGGAACAACCAGCTGATGGCATTATACGACTTGTACATGTTACAAAGTTGTTCTAATAAGCCTGATACAATGATGATATAACAACAAGAATGTTACGAGGTTGACGACACAAGTTTGTAATAATGTTATAACATCAATAAGGATGTTCCAAGTTGTTAACATCTTGTTACAAACTTGTTGACAACTTGGGACAACCAGTGCGAACACAACTTGTTGACGGCTTGTTGGCAAACTTGTTACAAGGGAGAAACATCGTTTTTATTTCTGTTTCCCTTTAATGTGAATAACTTTACATAAGTTCTACATGAAGAACTATCCCTATCTACCACTATAGGGCTGGTTTTAATAAGAGTTTCGAATCATCTACTTCAAGGTTACTCTCGCTGGTGCTAAATCACTGCCAGATGTCCGAAAAATGGTAAAAGTGTGAACTAATGATACACAAGGTAGGCTGCATTTTCTTCTGAGTGCAATGTAAATAGTATTGGCTAACTCACAGTGTCAACTATGAATCCAAATCACGCTTTCTGCGTCGGAATAAAATAGCAGTTGAATCCAGTGAGGTCTATACATATATATCTGAAGTGCGAACTTCAGTCATTCGGCCTTTAAGAAAAGTGAAGTGAAGATGACAGAAATGTCGTGAAATAGTTATGAAGGTTGTAAACAGTTTTAAAACCATGTTTTCAGGAACTAACTGAACCTATCGCTAATAACGGTCCTCTAACGACCCTATCGCTAATCACATTATATGTTGATAAAACCATAGTATTATTGTTTAAATCGAGGTCAAAATACGAAATTTCGACACATTTTTTGCAGACCGCGCAGACAAAAACAATAGAAAGGGACTGAAACTGACGTCCGATAGCTCCATCTTTTCATTCACTTTTTGGAGTCGAGTTCTCCCTCCAGATATATACAAAACTCACTTGTTCAGGGCCGTTCCTAGACGCGACAATTGGGGAAGGGGGAGTGTATATTCATATACTCATGTTCACATACCGTAAAAACAATCGCTTTCAAAAAGAAATCCGTCGGACTGAACACGAATATATGAATATACACACCCCAATTATCGGGCTAGGGACGGCCCTACACTGGTTGAATTAAAATATATAACTGCGACTGGAAGAATTAAGATTTGCACACCAAACTATTTAACTGTTGAATCGTTCATTGAGCTTAAACGCCGTTTTGCACTTCAAGTGTATCGTCGCTATTTATTTTGGGTCGAAGTCATCAGATCATTAGTTCCACTCTAGTGCTAAGGAAAGAAAGAAATACTCTACGCTACGATACGCTATGGTTGAAGTGGAAAATGACCTTAAAGCATTGTCAATAGAATCAGAAGGTTAGGAAACTCGATGCAGACATAATAGATCTCATTATTAGATCTATGTTTTTTCTCTTTGTTTATGCAAGAAATGGTCGGGTCATCGCAACGTGTGTATTGTATTTTCGCCAGAGGAACCAATAGCTATGTTTTATTTAACCGTTGTGTGATATCACGACTGGGTAATTAAACCAACACACTGCTATTGGTTGTTAACGGAAAAAAATAATAGACACGTGACGATGAACCGATCTTTGTTGCATAAACCAAGACAAAAACATAGATAATGAGGTTTATTATATTCTCATCGAGTTTCCTAACCTTATTCAATTGACCATATTTCAAGGATTAGTGTCAGACCATGGTATAGCGAGCTTTTGTTACTGTTTTTTCTTACCCAAAATCAACAAATACCGATAAAAATTCCTTGCTTCGCACATTTCAAAACAGGTCAGATAAAAAGCAATGATTCTCAAAAGATGGTTTATTCAATATATAAAGCTATCGTTAGTAGGCCTGTGCAGTGAGCTGTATATATATCTGGAGCGTGGACTCGTGTTTGAAAAGTGAAGTCAGCTTCGTGTCAACCGCGCAGACAAAAACAATAGAAAGGGGCTGGAACTGACGTTCAATAACTCCTTCAATTTCCGCCATCTTGGCAAGGAGTGTGCCAAAATTTCGTATTTTGACATCGATTTAAAGGACAACACCATGAAAATGGCACACCTTTTTAAAATGATCTATCAACTGAAAATTGGAGAATTTTGGCAAAACTGCTAGTTGAAGGTCGTCTGATTTTATTAACACTAAAATTTTTCACAGTGTTAACTTTACGAGGGCAAAATGAAAGATTGATTTCATATGTTTCGCTCATTTAATATCATTTCATGCGTAATGAAGGGTCTGTCAATTCATTTTCATATCCGCAAAACGTTTATGCGATCGGGTGCGGAATTTGTTTTAAAGCCTAAAGGAATGAAAAGAGTTTGTTTTACAGAAAAAGATCGCTTTTCATTTCGAGGAAAGTTCTGTAATCAATTAAAAGAACAAAATAAAATTAGAGGCACTCGTTGACTGTATACCTCCGCCAGAGAATTAAGTTAAAGATCATGCATAAATTATACAATGCGCTAATTACGCATCCAGTTTACTCGGCCCGGCAAAGCAAAACAAACTTTTGCTAAATTTTCATCAAATTTTCATCCAAATTTAACTAAATTTCCCCCAAATTTTCGTTTTAATACGCTTGATAGTTTTTAAGTTGTCATCCTGACACACACACAGAGTAACAAACATACATATGCACACAGGCTGCCCCCCCTCCCTCATGAACGAGTCGGCAAATTGTTGCATTCATTCGGCAAAAATTGAGTTGTTTGGGTATGGAACGAATTATCGAAGTGAATTATCTTAATTTTAACCAAACGTGAATTTAAGCCTCTAGATTTCATATTCATAATCCGCGTGTGTCGGAAAATGCAATGTTAACCAAAGTTTAGCAAATGTGCGCGTGTACCCAGGCTAACGCAGCCCAACCTTATGACTCGGCAAAACTATGCCTCACCCCCCCCCCCTAGTAGAAGGAGGCCTAGCGCCACCCCTGGGTAATAAAAAGCATTTTTACTATTTAGGTTGGTGGCTGGAAAAGAAGCATGGCAGACGTTATTTAACCGAGTGATGGACAGTGTTCATGATCTTTTGAAACAAAACTACGGTGGACAATTATCAATGAAAAATTTTGTAATTGCTTAAAAAACTACAGAAGGCATGTACTTCCGCCAGCGAAAACCTGTGAGCGAATAATGATTACGTAATGAATGTTAACAACATGCTATTTCACATATCATGTCCGTCAGACGCTTTCATCTTACGAAAATAGCTAATTTCAAACAAAAACATCGTAAAAACTATTATTTCTTAGTGGCGGGGTGGGAGGTGACCAATCCCATTTCCCAGCGATTTATTATGACACCCAGGAGAGCAGGTATTTCTTGTATAACACGACTTGGAAACTCAATTCTGCGTTCATTTGATCTCCATAGAACTAGTTTTGCCTAGTCATAACGTTTACGGTACCTGTCACCTACAATTATGTGTAAAGTTTATTGAGACAACAACGCAATTTCCCCCCTCCCGCCCCCCCCCAAAAAAAAAACAAACTATGTTGTAAATATGACATAAAGCCTGAATGTCAGCCCAATTTTATTCTCAACATTGTCTATGGGGGAGGGGTGCAGGAAATTAAAAAAGAGGATAAAAATGTAAAGGTCTCGGTATTTTTGCACTTGATTGTAGCCCTGCAGACTCGTTCAGGGACGTAATAATGGTTACAGAGCCAAGAGCTTCGTCAGTGACGGTGTTGTTATTCAATAAAACTTGTTTATAACCGCATCCGGAATAGTGTTCTTACTTATTTAATGAGCAATCTAAAAAGGAATTGCGAAATTCATAACAGAAACACCCGTTATTTATAAGCTCTATGGGGAGGAGGGCAAGAACTTTATAAAGAGGATAAAAATGTAGAAGTCTCATTATTTTTGGACTTGATTGTAGCTCTGCTGGCTCGTTCAGGGACGTAATAATGGATGCAGAGCCGAGAACTTCCTCAGTGTTCTTATTCAATAAACTACAATGGATACCATTTTACGAATCGGTATCAGGTAAATTTACTGCTGCGTTGAGCTGATTTTCAGGTAAATTATAAATAAGAGCATTGACAGGCAAACGTGGAAGTTAACAATTTATGGGTTGACAAAAGGGCATGTGCAGTAGGTCTCGCTCAAGCGAGTTTCCTGGTTAGCTTGGCTGATATGATTGAATATGCAAGAATGAATACACTTTAAGAGACAATTTCCGTGAACTTGCTTTCTGATTGGTCGGTTTAATTGTACCACGTGGGTTCCTTTTTTGTAGCAACAACACACGGCCGCAGAATAGGAAGGTATATCAGAAGCGTAACTCAAGCAAGTATTTGTCCGCGTTTTTACAAGCGATTCGTCATCAATCACGCCATCCTGGCTAGTACAACCGGCAGTTTGTACCTAGCAAAACCTGATAAAAACTTCCGGTTGTACTAGCCAGGATGGCGTGAGCGAGTTAAAATTTTCGTGGACGTAAAACAATAAGGGAAACGACTAGAGTTACGCTTCTGCTATAGCTTCTTATTCTGTGACACGGCCGTGCGTTAGTACTGTTGAGGCGAGTAACGTTGAAACGACACAAAAAAAAACACAAAACGAGCAAATGCCCAGGTATTTTGTGTGTTTTAAAGTAAGTCTGTGTTTTTCTTTGACTAAAGTTTAATTTTTTTTTAATTTTAATTTTACAAGATTCGCCAAACATAACAGACATAAATAAGACTAATACTTTACAAAATTTACATACAATTCGGGCAGGGACTAGCCACAGAGATAATCTCCAATTATGGGGCCCCTCACAATAAGTTACAATATATAACATTAAAACAAATTATGCTAAAATATCAACAACATGTCTGACGATTATAAGCGGTTAAAGAGTATTAAATTTAGTGTAGTATGAAATTCTTGTTTCTTCAGTGTTGGTTAACTCGTTCATGCATATTCCGACAACACACTCCAAGAGTGATTTCATTCTTAAATACATAATATTCTATGTACTCTGTGTATTGTATACTCATGCATACTTCTTTCGGAATAACATTATTTTTATTTACATTCGTTGAAATTTGAATAGGCCCTTATCTTTTTCCGCATCTGCAATTTCGAGTTCCACATTTCCGTATCCGCGTTTTCTGCCGACCTTCGCGGCCATTTTAAAATTCGGAAATGAACCAACAAAATGGCGACAAATTAAAAACCAACATTTAATATTCTCACGATTTTTATCGTTTCCTTGAAGAATAAGCAGTTCGCAGGTCATTATATGTGTATATATTGTGAACAGTTCTTGTAACGTATCGTTGAACTGAGCATTGTTTTGTGAAGTGCAGACACGATGGCAAATTTCAATATCCAGGACGAAAATTATCCAGGAAGATGTCAAATTTGTTGAGAAAATCAACAGGGTTGGGATTTGTGCAATGAACCAACAAGAAGGTAAGCAATATGTCTAACCCTAAAGTTGCTACCGTTAGTTCAATGCTTGAATGCTTCTTCTATCTTGAGCGTTAGAAACAGTTTATTTTAGCTTTGTTCAGAAAACAATACAGGAATATAATATACATCGAGCCCAAAAGGTTTATACTACACACGCGAAAATCTCACATCCTGTAGCAAGTTTTCCAACAGGCCGTCAACAAGTTGTGATCGCACTGCTTGTACCAAGTTGTCAACAAGTATGGAACAACTTCTTAACAGTCGTAACAATTACCTTCAGTTGATATTATCAGACTTGTAGCAAGGTTGTTCCAATTACTATAGTGCAATGCAATTATGAGGACAATATTGTTACAACCTTGTGTCGTCAACCTTGTACTATCAGACTTGTTAGAACAACATTGCAACAAGTCTGATAATGGCTTCAAGTTTGTTAAAGTTGTTACCAGCTTGTTCCAAACTTGTTACAACAACTGGGAACAAGCAGTGTGAACACAACTTGTTGACAGTTTCTGAACAAACTTGCAACAACTTGTTTGCAGACCTATAACAACATATGTATTTTTACATGTGTAGTTGAATTTGAGTGAATCAAGCTCAATCATCAAACATACACACACAAAATCTCACATCTTGTAGCAAGTCTGCCAACAAGCCGTCACAAAGTTGTGTTTGCACTGCTTGTCCAAGTTGTCAACAAGTTTGGAACAAGCTGTTAACAACTTGTAACAACCTTGTTGATATCATCAAACTTGTTGCAAGGTTGTTCCATTAAGTGTGATACACTCTGGACATAACAACATTGTTACAACCTTTTGCCGTCAACTTTGTAACGTTCTTGTTATATCATGACTGTGTCACACTTTTTAGAACAACCTTGCAACAAGTCTGGTAATGCCAACAAGCTTGTTACATTAAGTTGTTAACAGCTTGTTCGAAATTTTTAGCAACAGCTAGGAACAAGCAACTGGTGCGAACACGACTTGTCAACAACTTGGGAACAGATTTGTAAAAACTTTTTGCACACCTGTAACAACTTGTGCATTTTAAGTGTGTAGGGCACATCTACACACGTAAAACCACACATGTAACAACAGGTCTGCAAAGTCGTTGTTACAAATCTGTCTACAAGTTGTCGAGAAGTTGTATTTGTATTGCTTGTTCGGTGTTGCAACCTTGCAAGACATTTGTTATATCATGACTGTATCAAACGGGTTAGAACAGTCTTGTAACAGGTATGATAATGCCTGCCATCAAGCTTGTTAACAAGTTGTGTGCATACACGCAAAAAGCTCAAGAACTTGTCAGCAAGATGTGTTTGCTACAGGCTTGTAGCAAACTTGTCAACAAGTTGTGACAACGCTGTTATTTTATCAAGTTGCTACAAGGTTGTCGCTAACAGCTTGTAGACAAATTTTTGAATTGCAGGACGATTGCAGGACGACCTCAAGTTGTTGGAACAACTTGCTGTTATTCCGTCGAACTCAACAACCTTGTAGCAAGCTGTCCAGGAACCGTTTATAACTTGTCAACAAGCCGGGAAAAAGAAGTGCGCGAACACATCCCGTTGACAAGTTGTTGAAACAGCATCGCTACAAATCTGCTGCAGGTTTTTTACAACATGTGCGTTTTTAAGTGTGTACACACGCAAAATCTCACATCTTGTAACAAGTCTGCCAACAAGCCCTCCACAAGTTGTGTTCGCACTGCTTGTCCCCAGGTGTCAACAAGTGCGGAACAAGCTGTTAACAACTTCTAACAACCTTGTTTATATATGTCAGACTTGTTAAAGGTTGTTCCAACAAGTCCGATACAGTCATGATATAACAATATTGTTACAACCTTGTGTCATCAACCTTGTAACATTCTTGTTATAGAATGACTGTATCAGAGTTGTTAGAACAACATTGTAACAAATCTGATAATGCCATCAAGCTTGTTACAAGTTGTTAACAGCTTGTTCCAAACTTGTTACAACAACTGGGAACAGGCAGTACCAACCCTCCTTTTCGACAAATTGTGAGCAGACTTGCAACAATTAACTTGTAACAACTTTTAAACAACTGTTTGCAGACCTGTAACAACTTGTGCATTTTTACGCGTGTACGTACGTAAAAACGCACATGTTACAGATCTGCAAACAAGTTGTTACAAGTCTGCTCTCAAGCTGTCGACAAGTTGTGTTGGTACTGCTTCTTCCCAGTTATTGTAACAAGTTTGGAACAAGCTGTTAACAAGCTTGATAGCATTATCAGAGTTGTTAGGTACAGCCATGATATAACAAGAATGTTACAAGGTTGATGATCCAAGGTTGTTACAATATTGTTATATCATGACTGTATCGGACTTGTTGGAACAACCTTGCAACAAGTCTGACGTTATCAACAAGGTTGTTAGAAGTTGTTAAGAGCTTCTTCCAAACTTGTTGACAACTTGGGACAAGCTGTGCGAACACAACTTGTTGACGGCTTGTTGCCAGACTTGCTACAAGATGTGAGATTCTCGCGTGTGTACACGCGTAAAAACACACAGCTTGTGACAAATCTGCAGCAGACGTCTAGCAATACTGTACCAACAATTTGACAACAGGATGTGTTCGCACTGATTGTTCCCAGCTCGCTGACAAGTTGTCATCGGCTTGTTGACTTGCTAGAGGATGCGAGATTTTTATGCGTGTATGACGCAACGTCGTTAATCGCAAAATCTGAGAATAAAGTAGGTCGTTTGCAACACTGGCTGCAAAACAAAGTCTGTCGAAGTAGTTAGTGCAATGTTGGCTTGATTTCAGTTACTGTCTATTCTGCATTTTCAATATTTGTACAGAGATTAGCTTTGACGACATGTATGTATTTAACCATGTATAATGTGTAATTTAGTGCAATGTTGGCTTGATTTCAGTTACTGCCTATTCTGCATTTTCAATATTTGTACAGAGATTAGCTTTGACGACATGCATGTATTTAACCCTGTATAATGTGTAATTTAGTGCAATGTTGGCTTGATTTCAGTCACTGCCTATTCTGCATTTTCAATATTTGTACAGAGATTAGCTTTGACGACATGCATGTATTTAACCCTGTATAATGTGTAATTTAGTGCAATGTTGGCTTGATTTCAGTCACTGTCTATTCTGCATTTTCAATATTTGTACAGAGATTAGCTTTGATGACATGTATGTATTTAACCATGTATAATGTGTAATTTAGTGCAATGTTGGCTTGATTTCAGTTACTGTCTATTCTGCATTTTCAATATTTGTACAGAGATTAGCTTTGACGACATGTATGTATTTAACCATGTATAATGTGTAATTTAGTGCAATGTTGGCTTGATTTCAGTTACTGTCTATTCTGCATTTTCAATATTTGTACAGAGATTAGCTCTGACGACATGTATGTATTTAACCATGTATAATGTGTAATTTAGTGCAATGTTGGCTTGATTTCAGTTACTGTCTATTCTGCATTTTCAATATTTGTACAGAGATTAGCTTTGACGACATGCATGTATTTAACCCTGTATAATGTGTAATTTAGTGCAATGTTGGCTTGATTTCAGTTACTGTCTATTCTGCATTTTCAATATTTGTACAGAGATTAGCTTTGACGACATGCATGTATTTAACCATGTATAATGTGTAATTTAGTGCAATGTTGGCTTGATTTCAGTTACTGTCTATTCTGCATTTTCAATATTTGTACAGAGATTAGCTTTGACGACATTATGTATTTAACCATGTATAATGTGTAATTTAGTGCAATGTTGGCTTGATTTCAGTTACTGTCTATTCTGCATTTTCAATATTTGTACAGAGATTAGCTTTGACGACATGCATGTATTTAACCATGTATAATGTGTAATTTAGTGCAATGTTGGCTTGATTTCAGTTACTGTCTATTATGCATTTTCAATATTTGTACACAGATTAGCTTTGACGACATGCATGTATCTATTTAACCCTGTATAAGAATACCGCACTATTGCCACCAAAAACAAACGAAAATGGAGAATAGACAGTAACGACTTACACCAGGCAAACATTACACTAAATATTTTTACAAAATATGCGGCGGTCCATTACGTAAAAACAAACGCATGCATTTTAAAACAAAACAGCAAAACTAATTAAAAATTTGAAAATTATAATTTTGTTATTAATAAGATTTCGTGAAGATTAGTGAAAAAGAAGGAAAACATTGATATTTTTTGTTTTCTTCTACCAAATGTGTACCACGCTACTAATATGCATTTCAAATCATTCATTTCTTGTTAGTTGCAAGTATAAATGCCATATAATTAACCTCGCTTGCTCGGTATATACAGAGAAATATCGGATCTCGGTCTTTTTGTACAAACCTCGCCCTACGGGCTCGGTCTGTACAAAAAAGGCCTCGGTCCGATATTTCATTGTACAGATAGACCTCGCGTTCGGTTAATAAGAAGTTATTCTTTATTGCAAGTTATTGAGTTAAGAATGGCTTAGAAATTTCGTAGATATGAATAAATTGACAACACAATATGTTTGGCATAAAATTTTACTACTGAAATGTTTACACTTACCCAACCGGCACAACAACGATTAAATTATTAGAAAACATCAATATCAAAACAATTATCTAAGTATTCAGCCAATTACACACGCAACAATCTCACGTCTTGTCACATTGTCAACAAGATGTGTTCACAACAGCCTTGTCGTAAGCTTGTAAACAAGTTGCAACAATGTTGTTGTTATTTCAAGTTGCTACATGGTTGTCATTCACAGCTTCGTTAACAGGTTGTTGAATTTACAGGACGATATCATCAAGTTCTTGGAAAAAGTCTGTTATATAATTAAGTTCAACATCTTATATCCACATCCCCAAGCTGGGAACAAGCAATGCAAACACAACAGTTTTCAACAGAGTTTTTTATGTTTTGTGATTTTCAAGTCAAAATCGGTTTCGAAAAGCCACTGTATATTACTAACAAATAAAGTTTAGTGCGGCTTTATTGTGATGAGAACAGCCAATTTGTCATGCAAATATCCCCTCTTCTCCCCCCCCCACCCCCTCCCCCCCTTCCACCCCCTGGGAAAGAACGCTGACATAAAAATTAGACCGTGGAGAAAAGACCCGCGAAAAGAACCCGCGACAAAATATCTGCAAAAAACCCGCGACTCGCGAAAAAAAAACCCGCGACAACTAGACTTCATCATGACTGTAACGCACTTGTTAGAACAACGCTGTAACAACTGTGATAATGCTTGTTAACAGCATGCAATAAGCTGTTGATCCAAAAAGTCCAATGCAGTCATGATATAACAATATTGTTACAATCTTGCGTCACCTTGCCACATTCTTCTTATAGTATGACTGTAACACAGTTGTTGCAATAACCTTGTAACAAGTTTGTTAATGCCGTCAAGCTTGTTTCAAGCTGTCAACAGCTTCTTCCAAACTTGCTACAAAAACTTGGAACAAGAAGTGCGAACACAACTTGTCGACAGCTTTTGAGCAGATGTGTAACAACTTGTTTCCAGACCTGTGACAACTTGTGCGTTTTTACTTGTCTATAGACCACAGTTCTTGTACCAAATATGGAACAAGCTGTTAACAACTTGTAACAAGCTTGATGGCATATCAGACTTGTTACAAGGTTGTTCTAACTAGTCTAACACAGTCATGACGTAACAAGAATGCTACAAAGTTGATAACACAAGGTTGTAACAATATTATTATAGCATGCCCGTTATATCATACCCGACTTGTTGGAACAACCTTGCAACAAGTCTGATAATATCAACAAGGTTGTTGCAAGTTGTTAGCAGCTTGTTCTAAACTTGCTGACAACTTGGGACAAGCAGTGTAAACATAACTTGTTGAAGACTTGTTGACAGACTTGCTACAAGATGTGATATTTTTGCGTTTGTAACAGACTTCACATGTAAAAACGCACAAGTTGTTGCAGGTCTGCAAACAAGTTGTTAAAAGTCTGTTCACAAGTTGTCGACAAGTTGTGTTTCACAATGCTTGTTCCCAAGTGGTTGCAACAAGTTTGGAAGACGCTGTTAACAACTTGTAACAAGCTTGATAGCATTATCGGATTTGTTACAAGGTTGTTCTAACAAGTGTGATACAGTCATGATGTAACAAGAATGTTACAAGATTGAGGACACAAGGTTGTAACAATATTGTTATATCATGACCGTATTGGACTTGTTAAAACAACCTTGCAACAAGTTTGCTAATAGCACCAAGGTTGTTACAACTGTTAACAAATTGTTCCATGCTTGTTGACAACTTGGACAAGCAATGCGAATACAACTTGTTGACGTCTTGTTGGCAGACTTGCTACAAGTGAGATTTTTGCGTGTGTAGCTCAATGTTGTTTAGATGGTGTTTCAATTCTGAGTGCTAAATTTCAGATGTTCTTGTAATAACCCTGTGTACAAATTGGTTATATTCTTATTAATTGTGTGTGGTTTTTTTGCAGATATTCTCGCGATATTGTTACTCAATATCGTCCTGTTGGGACGCGTCTTTACTTCTCAATTGAAAGTCATGTTCACACCCTGATTAATGCCATTAGATATGGAAATCTTTGTGACGTAAGTACAGTGACATCTCTTCGATTGCAAAAGCGTGCAGCTCGTACGCACGTGCAAACGCGCAAGTCGTTATAGATCGGTAAACAAGTTGTAACAATATATCACGATGTGTTTGATGTGTTCCTGGTTGTTGTGACAACTTTGGAACAAGTTGTTATCACCTTGTCACGAGGTTGATGGCGGTAACAGACTCGCTACAAGTTGTTCCAACAAGACTAATACAGGCTCGTTGTAACCAACTTTCTAGCAATTTGTTACGTGCAGACGATATAAGACTTATTGGAACAACTTGTTGCGAGTCTTTTGGCCTCTCATCGACCTGGTTACAAGATGATGACAACTTGTCCAAGACTAGTCAACAACTGGGAACAAGCAGTGTGAACACATGCATTTGGTTTTTACCCGTGTCTTATTCTAGATGCTAACTGTTCTACTCCTTCTCCAAAATTCACATAATTCCAATCTTTGATTTAAACAAACTTAGGGACCTCGGTGGCGAAGTGGCTAACGCACTTGCCTTTCACCTCCAAGACCGCAGGTCCAAATCTCAGTGCGAACCTTCTCAACGCGACTCGAACCCAGTCCACACGCTAAAAGAGCAAAAGGCAACGCGCCGCCGAAAGTCGTGGACCCCTTCGGGTACTCCGGTCTCCCCCACAGGGAACGTTGACAGGGTGGGTTAGGTAAAAGGGTCCACAGTACAGTAATTGGCATATGCTGCTGTGGTGACCCTGCCCTAGTTGGCAAAGCTAATACAATAAGACAAAAACTTACTCTATGCTCGTCTAAACAAATGTTTAAGAGGTATTTCTTTTCAATGTATTTGCGATGAAAAGGGTTCAGAACCTAAAATCGATTTGGGGTTCCTTTCAAAATTACTTTGTTTTAGCTTTATTTTGTAATTTACACAGTTTGCAACCTTTTTAAATGCATCTGGCGTTTTGAGAAACGCAAAATAATAGTTAAATATTGTCAATTCAAATACAGTTATTATTAATGCTGTATTTATACAGCCATACAAGCAAAACTCACTGAACTTCAGACATCATTTTCTCTTGCATGGTTGAGTTACTCGCCCTATATCACCTCATATTTCAAAATTTTCCATTGCATTCCTTTACCGATATCTTTCTCCGTTCTTGAAATTATTGACCAAAAACAATGGACTGCTTGCCAACGCGGATGGACTGTCTACCATCTTTTGATTAACGATTTCTTTGGCAACGTGGAAAACAGCATTAATGAAGGCTAAGTATGTAACTATGGGAAAACGTAATACTTGACGTCAAGCGCTTTTGATCATAATTATTCACATGTAAATTTGCGCCATAACGAAATGTTAGTATTATTTTTTTCTTTTTTGACAGAAACATTGCGTGTGATTTACGGCGATACAAGACCACCTGAAGCGAAAGAAAATATACAAAAATGACAACTACAGTACTGCTGCCAGAACGTCGAACAGCCCAAAGAGATGCAGGAGCGACCATTTCTTCCACCAGACATCACACCAAAGATGATGCAACAAAAAACATGATCATAATTCATATACTTATGCATTGTATGTTTTCAATATGTCGATGGCATCGCAAATTTTTTCAATATAAAGGATCAGTCCTCTATATTTAAGAATTTGTGACGCGAAGCTACAAATCTAAGTCGTTACTAATAGTGATTGAGGACCGTAATTTGAAGCAAAATTAAATTACTTTTCATTTCTTCAAGTCCTTTCATGACTCTTTCCAACCTACTCAACTACAATATTTTTTATTAATTTATCCTGAACAAGTTGTAGCTGAGTTGATTCGAGCCATGTACGGCAGAATTCAACAAGTCGAGTCTGGGCTGTCGACTCGAGTCGAGTTTTTTGTTTCATGTTCAACTCGAGTGGCAGAAAATTGGGACTCTAGTCCGAGTCAATGACTCGATTCGTTACAACACTGCCTTAGTCATGAACTTGCGGTACATGAACGTGGCAGCCACAACAAAAGAGGGAAATGACGGGAAAAGATTTTAAATATTGCTTTGACTAAACAAACAGGTATTTCGACGATGTATATGCCCAATCTAAATTTGACAGTATATACTTATTTCACTATATACTTGCCAGGCACTGTTTCAGAACAGTGTGTGTTCCATTACACATCTTTCGGGCGTAGATAGCTAAAAGGACATTTTAATAACATTGGACAAAAAACGAGTTTTATTGAGAGTACTGCGAGTGAACAGTAAACAGAGAGATTAACAGCCGTAGAGATCCACTCTTCAGGTACAGTGTATTGTGATTAATCATTTGTATTAAGCCATTAGGATAGCTATGAATTTCTCAATCATGCATGTAATATTTTGAACTGTAATCTAATCAGAATCGAATTATTTACTGTAGAATTTTTATATATATATTACGAAAAATCTCTATGGTCTGTGCGTGGTTCAATCCTTGGTAACATGTTCTGAAGAAGGACTAATAAGATTGGCGTCGAGTTAGCAGACGAATTACGGGTTATTGGATAGAATCATGAACGAAAACGAAGGCCAAAGCGGCTCAGCTGAGGCAGTACAAGAGACGGCGCATTGTGAGTCAGACGCGCAAATGAGTATTCTTAAGAAAAAGCGAAGCCAACTCAGAGGTAAGATTACTCGATCTATAAATAGAGCCAGAAAGTTTATAGAAGAGGGCGCAGAGAAGCGTAAACGGATAGAAAAAGAAATCATTTGAGCACAGATTTGAGTTAGCGCGTGAGTGTCACGCTGAGATGTATGAGTATGTGGGGGGAAGTCAAACCTCAACGATGGACGAGTGGGAAGATATACTCACTAACGATGTATACGACATCGAAGAGATGGTCGAAACCTTTCTCCTGTCCCTCTCTGTGTCCGAACACGCTAACCCAATGTCCTCAACGAGCGAACAGATTTTAGAGCCTGAAGTCAATAGTAACATCGAATCAGCAGGAGGCAACGCGCCAGTTAGTCACGAGGAAGTCGAGGGAGCTTCAATTCATGAGACCGAAGCTTCGGGAAGCGCGCAATCCGTCACTAACAGCGACAAAACTGTGTCAAATGCCGAG